CTGGGATTTCATTCAAAATATCAAGAGGAGAAGAAGAAAAACTTTGATGAATAAAAGTTGCCATGAGTTGATAAATGTTGAAGCAGAGAGAAGGGTATATGGGGGTTCACTATATTCTTGTCTCTTTTTTTTTGAGATGGAGTCTCACTCTGTCACTAGGCTGGAGTGCAGTGGCGCAATCTTGGCTCACTGCAAACTCTGTCTCCAGGGTTCAAGTGAGTCCCCACCTCTCATGTCTCTTTCTTAAATGTTTGACACTTTCCATAATTAAAAAATTGTTTTATTGAAATAATCAGAGAACAAGAAAATCTAGGAAATGAAAAGTGATGGCAGAAACAAAAAGGTCAATAGAAGGGTTGGAAGATGGTTGAAGAAATTTCACAGAAAATAGAAAAAATAGAAAATAGAAGGTGGAACGATAAAAAAAAAATTAAGAAAAAATTCAGGAGGTTTAACCAACAAATCCGAAGAGCAGCACTCACAAAATGAAGAATAAATGACAAAAACTTTTCCAAGACTAAAGAAGTGAGTTTTTAGGTTGAAAGAGACCGCCTCATATATGATACCATAAAATTTTAGAAACCCACACTCAAGAATACCACTATAAGGCTGGGCGCGGTGGCTCATGCCTGTAATCCCAGCACTTTGGGAGGCTGAGGAGGGTGGATCATGAGGTCAAGAGTTCAAGACCATCCTGGCCAACATGGTGAAACCCTGTCTCTACCAAAAATGCAAAAATTAGCCAGGCATGGTGGTATGTGCTTGTAGTCCTAGCTACTCAGGAGGCTGAGGCAGGAGGATTACTTAAACCTGGGAGTTGGAAGTTGCAGTGAGCTGAGATCATGCCACTGCAATCCAGCTTGGGCGACAGAGTGAGACTCTGTCTCATCAAAAAAAAAAAAGAATGCCATTATATAAATTTCAGAACACCAGGATAAAGAGTAGATTCTAAAGACTTCCAAAGAGGAAAAGCAGCTTACACACAAAGGATTGGGAGTGAGACCAGCAATTAACTTCATCACTGCCACACAGGAAACTAGAAGACAAAAGAAGCAATACCTTCAAATAGCTGGTGGAAAATTCCTTCTGACCTAGAATTTTACACTCAGCCAGATTAGAAACCAAGTGAGGGGATAGAATAAAGCCATTTCCAGACACGCAGGGTCACAGAAAATTTAGTATCCATTTATTCATTTTGAGGTAGCTATGAGAAGATGTGTTCCATCAAAACTAGAAAGTAAACTGAGAAAAAGGTAGGTACAGAATTTAGGAAAAGAGATTGAAAAAGAAGTGAAGGAAATGTGACTCTAGTATACTATTTTGTTCAGATAGGAACAATTTTTATAAAGGAAAGCTGGAACAATGAAAACAATATTGGGAAGATGTGAAAAGGGAAATTGTGAGTGGGTGGCAGCATGAGAGAACTGAATCTTAGTCATCCATGTTAGAAAGGCAACAAATTATGTCTCCAAACAAAAACAAAGAAATGCAATATTAAAGTGTTGAATATAAATGTAAATGCCAGCAGCTAAAGAGATGAAAGTCATTGTCTCTGCCTATCCAAGAATTAGGATAGGCAGGAGGCTGGGCAAAGCATTGCTATGGTACATGATAAGACTCTACAGAGATTCTTTTGATAAAAATAAAAACGAAATTTAAGAACACATTCAGAATTATTAAGCAGTCTAAAATTCCAATAAGCCAAATATTTTCACTTTTCTATGATCTCTTTTGTAGCTTATATCTATAAAGTTTTACATATTTGTAGTAGCTCAATTTGTTGTAATTTTTACTACATCATTTTTGTAATTACATTTAAGATACTTTGTTTTAGTAATATCCTATTAGGTGGTAAACCATAATTTTATAAAATTCCTCTATTTTTCCTTATTAAAAAAATTTTTTTAGAACAGGATCTCCCTCCACCCAGGGTAGAAGACCGTGGTACAATCAAAGCTCACGGTAACCTTGAACACCTGGGCTCAAGTGATCCTCCTGCTTCAGCCCCTCCCCAGTCAGCTGGGACTACAGGCACAGGCCACCCCGCCACACCTGGCTAATTACTGTATTTTTTCTAGAGATAAGGTCTCACTGTGCTGGCCAGCCTGGTCTCGAACTCCTGGGCTCAGGCAATCCTCCCACCTCAGCCTCCCAAAGTGCTGAAATTATAGGCATGAGACACTATACCTGGCCACATTCTTCTATTTTTCCAGTATGTATGTGACTTCTAACTTCTTGCTATTATAAATAATGTTGCAACAAGAATTTTCAAGCCTATAAATCCTTTTTTAAGGTTATTTCCTCAGGTTAATGTAGCAGCAATAATGGCTCTTTTTACTTATTTCAAAACTATTTTCCAATTTATGGTGCCATCATACGAAATGATAGCATACATTCATTCATTTAGAGAAAATTCTCACTCTGTCACCCAGGCTGGAGTATAGTGGTGTGATCACAGCTCACTGCAACCTCAAACTCCTGGGCTCAAGATATCCTCTTGCCTCAGCCTCCAGCGTAGCTAAAATCACAGGCTTGCACCACTATGCCCATCTCATTTTTTTTTTCTGTAGAGACAGGGTCTTGCTATATTGCTCTAGCTGGTCTCGAACTCCTGGGCTTAAGCTGTCCTCCTGCCTCGGCCTCCCAAAGTGCTAGGATTACAGGTGTGAGCCACTGCGCCCAGCAAACTTTATTATTTTAATATGCATCTTTGACTTTCACCAAAAATGAACACTGCCTCAAAGATTATTTATCTCCTTGTATAAACTTTATTCAAAAATCCTCCAGATGGAGGATATAATGATATTTCTTATCAATTCCCAACTCCTTCATTCTTTTTATTAGTTGGAACTCTATTGCAAGAAAGAGTTTTCCCTTTTCCTCCATTAATTATATTTATGAATTAACCTATGGATTCTTATTTTATTCAACTGGGTTGTAATCTATCACTATCATTTATTATTGCAATGTTTAAGTTGTCCCAGATTTGGCCAGTACAAGCCCCTTAGCCAACTCCTTATATTCATATTTGAGGTAAACATTTCCCTGTTTTCCTATTTATACTATTTTTCATTGCATGAAATGTTAACAATTTTTGTATTACCAGTTTGTTTGTAATTTGCTCAATATTTCCTTACAAGTTTCCTAGACATGTTAAGTTGTAAAATTCAGTTAGTGTGTAGTTTGTTATGATGCAGGGTTTAAGAGAAGACTAAATTGTTTTCCAGGTTGCTCAGGTGTAATTTTTTCTTTCTTTCTTTTTTTTTTGAGATGGAGTTTCGCTCTTGTCACCAGGCTGGAGTGCAGTGGTTTGATCTTGGCTCACTGCAACCTCTGCCTCCCGGATTCAAGCGATTCTCCTGCTTCAGCCTACTGAGTAGCTGGGATTACAGGCACCCAGCATCACCATGCCTAGCTAATTTTTTTTGTATTTTTAGTAGAGACAGGGTTTCACCATGTTGGTCAGGCTAGTCTCAAACTCCTGGTCTCAGGTGATCTGCCCTCCTCGGCCTCCCAAAGTACTGGTATTACAGGCGTGAGCCACCGTGCCCGGCCGAGCTCAGGGGTATTTCAAACAAAATTTATGAAATCATGACTTAATTTCCCATTGCTCTGTATGCCTGTTTTGTCATACAGCATGGCAGGTACTCAATATTTTTGTAACAAATATACTAAAATTTGATATATATATTTTGTTCCACTGATTCTATGCCTGTATTACTCCCCCCAATAACATACTGTTACTGCTACTTTAAGCTTTAGCAACTGAGAGAGACTGTTCCCTTATTATTATTCTTTTCCAAAATATTCTGGATTCAGAAGTAAAATTCTGAATTATTTTGTTAAGTTTTAAGGAAAACACAACTGGAATCTTAATGACACTGAGCTAACTGAATGGCTAGAGGAGTAGTGAGATTCTTACCAGTTAGCCTTCTCTAATAGGAATTGGGCATTTATTTCCTTTCCTAGTATCTTTTAGGTTTCTCAGAGTTTTGTCGTTTTCTTTATGTACATTATGCACAATACAAATCCTGTTAAATACATAAAATCAAACTACTTTTGTTGGTTTTGTGTATGAACTCTCTGAGTTTCATCTATGCAGCTTTGTAACATGGGATTCATTAGCATAAAGTCACAAACACAGTGATGGAAAGGTAGGGCGTTGAGGATGTAATTTAATTTCCTGGTCCTAGCAAGAATCAAATAAGTGGTAATGCCATGGGGTAGGACTGAATAGGAGAGAAAATATGTTCAGGAAGGGAGCAACAGAATGGAAGCAAAGGACAGTGTTTATAGAGAGTGGTGAAATTTCTTGGGATATCCATGGTGGGTGACTAACTGGGAAAAAAAGAAGTAATAAATGATCATTGCAAATATTCCAGAATATTTTAAAAGCTTTATAAATCACACATAAATTGAAGAGGAAAAAATAGACTTTTAATAATCATACATAAAACATGAGGTTATGAGGTTAAAATAAATGATACCAGTAAATTAAAGGAAGAGTTAAGTATTTTTAAATTTATATACAATTTCTTCTTAACTACTTTTTACCTATGAGAGCCAAATCTTGCATTAGGGTTTTCAAAATCACAGGCACAGAATAAAAACTTATTTGGAGACCAGAAGTCAAGATAATAAAGACCTTTAGAATAAAAGCTATTCTGCATCCAGTAAATCAGTAAGTTTTAAAAAACATTAAAATAATTATATAAATCTAAAGATGAATCAAACCCAGTTTTAATCTTTTAAATATCTACTTGTATAAAACCCAGTATGAATTTATAACACTTCTTTTGTAACGTGGCAACTCTGGTTCTCACTAGACATATGACTCTTAGCCCAGCAGGAAAAATTCACTAAAAGTCAGTCTAAATTTAAAGCTGGTAACAGGAACCTATTCAGAATGTAAATAACATGCCAAGGAGTCCCATGAGCTCTACTGAGACCTTTCAGTTTGTTTAGATTACATGAACATTACAAATAGCAGCAGCACTTACCTTTCAGTGTGGCCTTCTTCAATACCTTCATGGCATAAAGCTGCCTAGCATCAGAGCCTGAGATTTTTTTAACTAAGAAAACCTGCATTTAAATAAGAGAAAATAAATATTACAAAGTACTGTCAACTATACTTTTGTTAAAATAAGACCCTGTTGTAATACAGTTTATTATTATAATATAGATCCCGATATACTGTAGATTATTTCCCCTAAAGTGTATCAATTATAAATACTAGTTATAAATAGTGGTTATAACTTGAAGTGTCAACTTAAGTGAATAGATTTTTTTCATCTTGTTGTCTGCCAGTTCCCAAAGAGCATGTAACACTTTAAGATAGAAAAAAATCCTGAAACTACATATGTATGAATTAGATGGAAAAAAGCCCAAAATGTTTAAAGTACAGCACAGGTGGTATGATGGCTCTGCTTTTAACAAAACAAAAATTCTACTGAGTCCATCAAAATTGTTACACAGGGGTTCCTCTTGACCACAATTTGCTGTTGATACAAGTATTCACTGATGAAGGGTCTTTTCTGTATACAAAAGCTGCACATATATCTCACTGCTCAGCAGAACAATTTAAAACACTTACATTGAAGAATCCTATGCACAAATTAGTTAATGTGACTTAAGTCGGAATCTATCTCCCCACCTTTTTATGGTCAAATTATCACATATACCTAAATATGAAGACCACAATTCTTAGGTATGTTACTGGGCATCCTGACTTCCCAAATATTTGTGCAAAATGAATAAAGCCTGTTCTAAATCATTCATGGTCATTCTATAATGTGGCTAATACAAGACTACCAGTATATCCCTTCTACTAATTTTAACCATTAGGTTCATAATCATTTCCATTGAACCTTTAAATAGATATGTCAAATAGACTTGAATTTCAACTCTTTCCCCCTGTCCATTCTTTTGTAGCAGTGTTCTTATGCTGCCACAGGTGGGAAAGAAGAGAGGCAATCACAATCAAGAATTAAGTTTAGGATCAGCTTTCATTCCTCTGAATTAGCATATCAGGTTATCAGCACAAAATTAAAAAATGATTCATTCAACTGATTCTAGGACAAGGCAGTTTTTCACTTTGAGAAACTGTGCCGAGTCAATGGGAAATGACCCCAAATCAAGTGAAGAGCACTGAAACTTGCACAGAAAGCCTGATGCAGGGTGTGTTGCTCTCCTATAATCACCGCCCCCTTCACTATGCCCCACATTTTAGCTTCTTTCAGCCAGTTAGTGAGGAGCCAACATGGGGAGAGAAAAGCATCCTTAATCAGGGTGGATCTAGGCTCTGGAATGATGTTTAAGTATTAAAGGTAATCAGAGATTATTAATATTTCTGATGGAAATAAAATTTAATTAGTTGGAGATAATTAGGATTTGATATGTAATCATCCTTAAGATTCCCTAACCAAGTTTTTTGTTCCATTCTGTAAGAAAAATTCTCCTGATGAATTCCACACTTTCAAATGTTCTTTGAATGCATCTTCTTAATACTCCAGCAGTTCTTAGTTTGCAAAGCACTTTCACAACCATTTGTAATAAATCATCATGTCAAATTTGGGAGGCAGACCTACTAAAGCAATGCCTATTTTATAGCTGTCCAAACTAGGGCTTATGGGGTTAGGTAATTTGCTCAGTGTCAAAATGGAGGTATTAGGACAAAGTCCATGTTAGTCACCCAGTATTCTGCTTCTGCTCAGGGTGCTCTTTATCTGTTCCCTTCCCAGTAACCAGCCAAGCCCAGCAGGAGCAATAGCGGTCCCAGCTGCCATCACTTCCTCCACCAGAGCATTTCTGACCTTTTCTCACTCCCCCATGAAGCTATTCTAGTCTCTGACAGGTCATTCCTGTTTCCTTGGCTTACTCTGGCCTTTCAGAATGAGTAAGAAAGGAGACATCCTATTTTGAATGTTTGGTATTTATAGTATGATATTTAAGATACTTTTATAGATATAAAGGGAGAAGCATGCTAATTCCAATAACTTAAATATTGTGTTCCCCGAAAATGTAATGTATAAAAATTACCCATTTATTTGAATTTACTGAATGGTGTGATAATTCAATTTAATACCAGATATTATGTGCTTGACCTTTTATCATTTAATTATCATTACTGTCCTATGGCGTCAAAACTATTGCACACTCATTAATTCTTTCCAGAATTATATGCCAGGCATTGTGCTACTGGTTCAATGGTGAGACTGATACAAAGCATGACCCTTCACTCATGGAACATTTAGTTTAGTAGGGGAGACAGCCACTAAACAAATAACTAAACAAATGAAAAACTGCAGTTATGGCAAATGCCATGAAGATGAGGTATATAATGTTCTGAGAGGGTACATGACCTGGGCAAGATGGCAGGGAAGCTTCTTTGAGATCACAGGTGCAAGAGGAGCTAACCAGCTGAGGAAGAGGTAGGGACAGAGCAGAGTGTTTCAGGCAGATGGAATCGAATATGGAAAGGCTTTCTAGTGGGATGGAGCTTAAGGACTTGAGTCCTGCTTAAGGATCAGAAAAGGCAGCCAATGTGACCAGAACACAGAGAGTGAAAAGTATGTAAACCTGGAGAGGTAGCTAGAGGCCAGACACAGCAGCCAGCCGCGCCCTGCACAGCAGCCGCAGGCGCACACGCTGACCACGCTGAACAGCGAGCTGGGCCAGTCCCAGCGAACGCACATCAAGACGGAGCAGCTGAGCCCCAGCCACCACAGCGAGCAGCAGCACTCGCCCCAGCAGATCTCCTACAGCCCCTTCAGCCTGCCACACTACAGCCCCTCCTACCCACCCATCACCCGCTCGCATACGACTACACTGATCACCAGAACTCCAGCTCCTACTACAGCCACGTGGCGGGCCAGGGCACAGGCTTCTACTCCACCTTCACTTACATGAACCCCGCCCAGCGCCCCATGTACACCCCCATCACTGACATCTCCGGGGTACCTTCCATCCCGCAGACCCACAGCCCCCAGCACTGGGAACAACCCGTCTACACACAGCTCACCCGACCTTGAGGAGGCCTCCCACGAAGGGCGAAGGTGGCCGAGATGATCCTAAACAAAACCAAAGAGAGGACCAGCCAGAATTCCCTTTGGACATTTGTTTTTTGTTTGTTTTTCTTCTTCTTCTTCCTTAAAGACATGTAAGCTAAAGGCAACTCGTACCCAGATTTCCAAGACAGAAACATGACCTATCCAAGCGCATTACCCACTTGTGGTGAATCAATGGCCAGGCCAAACCTTAGCTAAATGGACCAGTGAAAACAAGAAACTGGACTTTTGAAACCCTCTTGAGAGCAAGTGTGGAGGATAATGGAGAATCGTTGGGATCGGTGTGCTCAATCTCTCTGCCTTCTTGGACTTTGTAATTATTTTTTAGCAGTAATTAAAGAAAGAAGTCCTCTGTGAGGAATATTCTCTATTTTAAATATTTTTAGTATGTACTGTGTATGATTCATTGCCATTTTGAGGGGATTTATACGTATTTTTAGATAAAATTAAATGCTCTTATTTTTCCAACAGCTAAATTACTCTTAGTTGGAAAGTGTGCCCTAGCTTTTCTTGCAGAGTATTTTTGTACAGATTTGTTTTCTCTTACAAAAAAAAAGCCTGTTGTATTAACATTAAAAAAAAATTGTGTTATGTGATCAGTTTTGGGGGTTAGCCTTGCTTAATTCTTCAGGCTTTCCGATTCAAGGAGGAGCTGCCTTAAAAAGAAAAATAAAGGCCTTATTTTGCAATCATGGGAGTAAACAATAGTCTAGAGAAGCATTTGGTAAACTTTATCATATATATATTTTTTACACAAGATAAAAACACCTTGAGCCTTAAATCCATGCTGCTGGGAAATACTTGCACTCTCTTTTAGTGCATTCTCCTGCCTTTGCTTCTTCACTGCAGTCTTAAGAAAGAGGTAAAAGGCAAGCAAAGGAGACGAAATCTGTTCTGGGAATGTTTCAGCAGCCAATAATTGCTTGAGCCACAGTCCCCTGATTGCCTGCCTGGGCCCCATGTGGAAGGCAGATGCCTGCTCTCACTCTGTCACCTGTGCCTCTCTGAACACCAGCAGTTAACCTTCAAGACATTCCATGCGCTAAAATTATTTATTTTGTAAGGAGAGGTTTTAATTAAAAAAAAAACTTCCTTTCTTTTTTTTTTTTTAATTTTACCTTCTTTAAAATAGGTTGTTGGAACCTTCCTCAAAGGGTATGGTCATCTGTTGTTAAATTATGTTCTTAACTGTAACTTTTTTTAAAATTTATCTCTTTAATCTTTTTTTTTTATTAAAAGCAAGTTTTTTTGGATTCCTCATCCTAGATTTGTATAAATGCCTTTTTGTCCGTCCCTTTTTTTCTTTGTTGCTTTTGTTGAAAACAAACTGGAAACATGTTTCTTTTTGTACAAATGAGAGATTGCAAATATAGTGTATCACTGAGTCATTTGCAGTGTTTTCTGCCACAGACCTTTGGGATGCCCTATATTGTGTGTGTGTGTGTGTGTGTGTGTGTGTGTGTGTGTTTTGACACAAAACAATGCAAGCATGTGTCATCAATATTCTGCATCTTCTCTTGGAGTGAAGGAGGCTAACCTGGAGGGGATCAGCCCACTGAGAGACCTTAATCTTAATTGCTGCTGTGGCTGGAGAGTTTGAGGATTGCTTTTTGAAAAAGACAGCAAACTTTTTTTTTATTTAAAAAAAGATATATTAACAGTTTTAGAAGTCAGTAGAATAAAATCTTAAAGCACTCATAATATGGCATCCTTCAATTTCTATATAAAAGCAGATCTTTTAAAAAAGATATTTCTATAACTTAAGAATCCTGGCATTTAAATCATTATTTTGTCTTTAGGTAAGCTTTGGTTTGTGTTCGTGTTTTGTTTGTTTCACTTGTTTCCCTCCTACCACCAAACCTTTTGTTCTCTCTGTGAAACTTAACTTTCCTTTTTTCTTTTTTTTGTATATTATTGTTTACAATAAATATACATTGCATTAAAAAAAAAGAATTCGTCGTTATTGTAAAAGCAAAGGGAGGCCACTGAAGGGTTATGGGGGGGTAGAGTAAAAGATTAATTCATGCTGGCTATCAGTAAATAATGGATTGAGGTAAGAATACATTTGGAAAGTCCCAGTTAGGAGACCCCTTCAAAAGACCATGAAGAAAGGTGGTAGCATATTCTGGAGGGGTGGCAGGCAGGCTTTGAGAAATCTTTACTGAATCTATAGTACTTGATGATAGATAAGATTGGGGCCAGGTTAGAGTGGGATAGGGGAGATAGGGACTAGAAATATACATCAAGAATGCTTCCCAAATTTCTGAGCTTAATGAGAGAAAAATGAAATAGAACAGTTTGAGGCTTAGGGAAAGATGAGTTTGGTCTCAGACATGTTGACTTTAAAGTGCTTTTGTGACACAGAAAAAGAATAAGCAGCTGTGCATAAGTATTCAGAGCTTGGAGGAGCAATCTAGATTGGAGACATAAATCTGTTACATCAGCTGTATGTGAGTGACAATTAAGATAGCAGGCACAGAGAAAATCAATCAGTAGAGTATTAGTAATAGAGAAGAAGGTAGCCTAGAATGGAACCTTGAACTTCAATATTTAATGACTGGCTAGAGGAAGGAAATGGGGACCCAAGAGGTTAAGTACACACACTTGCTCAAGCACACACACAGTGAATAAATAGAAGAAAAAAAAATTGAATCAAAGTCTGGCTGACCTAGAGTCCAAACTTACAACCATTATGCTCTGTTGGCTACTTATTCTATATTTGGATTAAAAGCATTGTTTTGGGTTCAAAAGAGGTTAATAACTGTAACAAATTACCTATGTTGGCCAAGAATTGCTAAATAGTCACAGTAAAATACACAAGAGAGTTAAAATGGTGCTGCTCTGAAACTTGCAAAGCATGGTATCTTCAAATGTTTCCTTACAGAGTGGTGGTAAGGAATCACCGCATCATGAAAGTTGAATACAATTTCCAAATTTTCTTCTTGCCAAGAAACAATCTAGACCTTTTTGGCACCAGGGACCAGTTTCATGGAAGACAATTTTTTCACAGACTGGCACAGTGGAAGGGGGAGATGATGTTGGGATGAAACTGTTCCACCTCAGATCATCAGGCATTAGATTTTCATAAGGAGTGCACAACCTAGATCCCTCGCATGTGCACTTCACAATAGGGTTCGTGCTCCTATGAGAATCAAATACTGCCACTGATTTGACAGAAGGTGGAGCTCAGGCAGCAATGCTCACCCAGGTGTTGGGGACTCCTGGTCTAGACAGATCAAGTAGTAGTAATTATAATGCTGTACTTCTCAAAATGGAGTACAGAAGTGCCCCTGAGGTGTGAAGTATGTATGTATGGGGTGGGAGGCAAGCACTACATGAAAAACACTGATAAAGATGTTGCATCTTTGGCCAGCCATGGTTGCTCACACCTGTAATCCCTGCACTTTGACAGGCTGAAGTGAGTGGATAGCTTTGAGTGCAGAAGTTTGAGACCAGCCTAGGCAACATGGTGAAACCCCATCTCTACAAAAAACACACAAATTAGCTGGGCGTGATGGCATGTGCCTGTGGTCCTAGCTACTCAGGAGGCTGAGGCTGAAGAATCGCTTCAACCTGGGAGGCAGAGGTTGCAGTGAACTGAGATCATGCCACTGTAACTCTGGCCTGGGTGACAGAGGCAGACTCTGTCTTCTAGAGGAATTTTACTTTGTACCTTTGGGAAACATTTTTTGATATTAAAAACAAACATGATGTTACTGAATAAAATGCAAACTTTGCATTCATTTTAAAGACAAGCCAGTGGTCAAGAAAATTTCAAACTTGTAGCAGTAACCCCCAACTGTACTTCTTTGGGAACAATTATTCACTTTATGCTAGTAATAGAGTATGCTGGAAGGGAGGCTGAGATGCACTGTTATATCGTATTGCAAGATCACCTTCCATCCCTACCCAAGGACTCAAAAAGAGGCCAGTGTATCAAGGGAATATCTTGTGATTTTCAACCATTCATAAATCATAATTGGAGAGGTCATGTGGTCTTGAAGATAAAGTATGAAGCAAATACTACCAATTTACTAGTTTCCAATGTGCTTTTGAATGACTTTATTCACTTTCCCACACTTACTGATAGTGAGAAATGTAAAAACACAGAAACACTGCTAGTAGGAAGACTGGAGGCAATTCATAAAATAATTCTGTTTCCCCATGTGTGTGAAATACATACGAATTCCAAAAAACAACTTTTAAAAAAGCACACACTCATGACTTACCTTTCCAAATGATCCCTGCCCTAATACTTTTAAAAGTTCAAACTGGGAAGGATCTGCCTTTTCATGTCCTTCCTTTACATGATGAGTGATTGCAATTTCTTTGATACTGACTTCTTCCTGTTGAGGTAAATATAAGGGGAGCAAACAGAGTTAGCCAGAGCTATTCTCTCCTGCTAAAAATCAAACAATACAAATTTAATCATACTAGAAATTAATCAGAAATCAATCTAATTTCTAAGTATATTAGAAATCCTGAAATTAACATATATAAAACCACCCTTTACCAACCTATCAAGTGTATATGCCACACATACATACTTTCAGGGTAAATGTCAGAGATAGTATTATACCAGCCTATCACATAGGCCAATTTAACCTCTACATGACATTTAGTACTCAGTATTTTCAAGTCTTCATTCTCTCTACTGGAGATAATTACAATAGTTTTATTGGGTGGGGGCAGAGGGTGTAAAGAAGTCTGCAAATAACAGATCGGAGTAATCTGCTGTGCTCTGGTGTATGGTTATTGTTACTCAGAATTAATGCTATTTAAAAAAAACTATTTATTGAGGAGAGGGGTTGAAAAATATTCCAGGGTAAACATGGAGATTTCTAACCTCAATGTGGCTGTTTAAGTACACTGAAGTTTTATCCCTTTGAAATTTCTAAGTTACTTTGTTTCTAGAATAATCTGGGATCTCAGAGGGGAGAAAGGAGTAACTCTAAAACACAAAATCAGAAAAGATTTAACATTTGGATGGAGAATCAGACATGGAAAAAAACGACTATTCAGCATGATGGAACAATGAGAGGTATCTAGATTAAGAGAAGGATTTTTAAAAGATAGTGGACATTTTAATATATTTGAGAAAAAGCATAACAAAGAGAAAATATATGAAATACACACAGGATTTCAATTACTTATGTGAGATCAGCAGATTAGGTTACCTTATTTAATCAAGACACAAACTGTATGTTATAGTCAAAAATTACAACAAAACAAAATCTGACCAAATTAGAAACATAAACCTGTCAAATAAAGACTACCATTTTTGTTGACTATAATTTTTTTCTAGGTGCGTAAGTACCATTAGTAGAATCTCAATGTGTTATGTGAACATAAATAATCCATTGTTTTTGTTATTATCATATCCCATACAAACATTTGTGCTCAATTAACATTTTCTGAGATGTCCTTAGAATGTTGGCAATATAAAGAATTACGAAGATTTCTCAAAAAGACATACCAGAATATCCTAACATGGTAGCTTTTGAAAATGAGTCGTAAAAGGAAAAAAGCTCCCAGAAGAGGAGAAAAAGGAATTCAGGCCCACTACTTTATTTCTCAGACAGAGGCTGTAATTTGTAGGTTATTTACTACTTAGGCAGTTCAATCATATTGGACTCCCCTAGAACTTTGGTAACAATAATCAAATCATTTCCTAACATCAGTTTAGATCTTTATTTCATAATTTCCTGTGTATTTTGTCCTTTAATTCTCACAACAATCCTGCGCAGTAGGTATTAGCATAGAACCAAGCATTAGCTGACTCTTAAGATGCTACCTCTTTCCTCCAAATAAGACCAAGGTACAAGGGTTTCAGACCACCCTTTTCTCCAAATAAGACTAGAAATCCAGCAAATACTATTACTGAGCACCTACCACATATCAACTCTGTGTTAGGCGTTTTTTTATGTTTTATATTCATGTTTCATGACAAATCTTTGACCACATATTAATGTTAGAGAGGACTGACATAACATAAACAAGTAAACCTTAAAACAAGCATAAACATTTCAGAGTTTTCTATGTATTCCCCCATTTACCAGTAGCAATGTGACAGATCCTCTAAAAACAAACTGGTTTGAATATTCTACAGCCTGAAGTTTAAAGAGATTAATGGAAGGCCAAAGATCACAAGCCAGTAAGTGGTAGACTTAGGGCTCAATTCTAGGTCTCCTGACTTTGAAAACAAGGCCCTTACCATTACACCACACTGAGATCAATGACAGGAAACCTATAGACTTATGACCCTGGTCTTTGTAACTGGTCTGTTAGCTCAGTTGATTACAGCAGTGTTCTTTGAACTTTTTGGTAGCACATCCTTAGCAGAAAAAAAAAAAACTACATACACAATACTTGTATCCTTAAAATTATATACACGTAAAGAAGTTATCTTCTTTTCTATACCCCAAAGTTCTGTCACATCGCACTTCGAAGACTAATGGATTACAGACTTGAACTCATGGGGCCAAGTTCATGGGCTGCATTCCAGTATGTGTCAGTTAGTCTTGTATTTAAAAAAAAAAACCCAAAAAACAACTATCTGTCCAACAGTCTAACTGGAATCTAGCAGCCATTTATGCCTTTTAAATCATGAGGTCATGAAGAACTCTACTTTGTAATGTTAAATATTTTTTTACCATTTTTCTCTTTTAGGTAAGTGGGATGTGATTTATCAGGTTACAGTATTTTTCCACCTTACATTTCATAGCAAATATGTACAAAAATTTTGTTTGTCACAAATAAAGAAGCAACACAAGCAGGGAAGAACAATCACTGAATTATAAACACATTCCATTTTGTAGCAGGCATACAGGATCAACCCTTATCCTAAAGTAGTGTGAGCTACAATCAGGCCATGAATTTCAAAATACACAGCAATTACTACTCACATCTTTGATGACTACCCTTCCTTTCATCTCATGTCAAATAAGTTCCTAAAAATTGCAGTCTGGCCAGGCATGGTGGCTCACACCTGTAACACCAGCTTTTTGGGAGGCCGAGGCAGGTAGATCACCTAAGGTCAGAAGTTCGAGACCAGCCTGGTCAACATGGTGAAATCCTGCCTCTAGTAAAAATCCAAAAATTAGCCAGGCATGGTGGCGGGTGCCTGTAATCCCAGCTACTTGGGAGGCTGAGGCAGGAGAATTGCTTAAACCCGGCAGGCAGAGGTTGCAGGGCGCCGAGATTATGCCACTGCACTCCAGCCTGGGCAACAAGAGTGAGATATTGTCTCAAAAGAACAAAAAAAAAAAAAATGTAGAGTCTAGGTTGGGCAATATAGTGAGACTTTCTCTCTACCAAAAAATTTTAAAAATTAGCTAGATGTGCTGTTGGTGTGAGCCAACAGAGTCCCAGATACTCAGAAGGCTGAGACATAAGGACTGCTTGAGCCCAGGAGCTCGAGGCTACACTGAGCCATGATCATGCCACTGCACTCCAGCCTGGGCAACAAAGCAAGACCCCGTCTCAAAAGAAAAAAAAAGTAGTATCTCCCTTTGGTCCCTTCTGTATAACAACCACATGCTGAAACACTTACTATGTATCAAGTACAGTATTGAGAACACTTTACCATTCTTTCTTTTTCTATTTCTGGTGATATCGTCAGGGTACAAGCCTTCATTACCTTTCATCTAGAAAACTGAAACTAGATTGGTTACTTATAATATTGCTTTCCACCTGGGTCCAATTCATCCTTCTGAAAAATACATTTTCTGAAATTATACAGCTCCAGTCATTTGACCAGGCTGTTCAAAAACTCCAAGCTTTCTCAAATTAAATGTACTACTTCACCTTGGCATTCGAGCTCCTCTATTATATGGCCTCAACCTACTTTTGTGATATTATCTCCCAACACTCTCTTACACACAGCCTGTTGTCAGCCTAGGTTATTTCTTACTCCCTAAACTCTTTGTTTTTAAAATCAAAGTAATACATGCACACTGGTAATAAACAGTGGCAGAATAGCTTATGGTGAAAAGCAAGTCTCTTCTCACCCTCATGCCTGGACTTGAAAAAAAAATTAGTTCTGCATCTTCTTTGATAATTTCTTAATTTATCAACCTTAAGACAATGTCTACTGACTTAAAATAAGAAAGGTGAGGGACTTACTTATATTATGCCACTTCATTTCATCATCTTCCTCTACATTCTTTGGCAATTATATTACCTTTACATAAACTTCTTGTCTTTTCTCTGTTGGACAGAATCCTAACTCTTCCCCTTGAAAAAGGAGGCTAATATGTAGCTGTATGTAATTTTATTAATATTAAGGCTATTAATTTTAAGAAAATTAACATTTTCTCCTGCACTTCTAGCTGTAATTTTATTAAGGCTATTAATTTTAAGAAAATTAACAGTTTCTCCTGCAACCACAACCAAATCATTCATGCTCTCTCTATAGCCTGATTCTAAAGTTGAAAGCCTATATACAACAGCATTCACATCATTGTGACAATATATGGTTCATATGAAGGCTAGGTAATATATTAAATTTCCTTTTATATGAGCCCATGACTCCTAGGCCAGTCCAAGGGGACTTAAAAAAAAAAAACAAAACAACTGCCTCCCACTTCATTAAATGTTTACATTCATGATAAATTTTACTTTTGATTCCTATTAGGATCATGGATTTCTCATGCACTTTTCTGTTTTTCCTGTTTTTAACAGCCTTCCACTATTCTTGGGGTAAGGGAGAAGTAATGTGACCATTATTCTTATTATTTTCTTAGCCCTTAGCAGAATTTTTCATTCTTCTGAGAGCTCTTTTCTATCCTGGAGACCTCTCTCTCCCTCCCATCAGGACTGGTGGTTCTGTAGGCCCACTGCACAGCTATCACCTTGGCATAGCTCTACAGTGATTTTCTGGTTGAATCCAGTTTTCAGATTCCTGTCTCTTTCTTAGATTACCCTCTTGCAACTTCCTAAGAAAGGTGATGTGGAAGAAAACTTTCTGAACATCACACATCTGTAAATGTATTTATTTATTTATTTGAGATGGAGTCCCACACTGTCATCTAGGCTGTAGTACAGTGACATGATCTCACCTTGCTGCAATCTCCACCTCCTGGGTTCCAGCAATTCTCTGGCCTCAGCCTCCTGAGTAGCTGGGACTACAGGCATGCGCCACCATGCTCAGCTGTTTTTTTTTTGGTACTTTTAGCAGAGACAGGGTTTCACCATGTTGGCCAGGATGGTCTCAATCTCCTGACCTTGTGATCCACCCGCCTCGGCCTCCCAAAGTGCTGGGATTACAGGTGTAAGCCACCATGCCCGGCCACACATCTGTAAATGTTTTTATTTTGTCTTCCCATGTGTACAGTTTGGCTTGGTATCAAATTCCAGAAAAAAAAAAATCTTGCCTCCAGTTCTGCTGATGAGATGGGTGATGCTAGTCTGTTCACACTTTTTGCTAGGTCTGTTTTTTCTTTCTGGAAGCCTTAAAGATTTTCTCTGTCCTTGTGTTTCTGAAATTCCATACTAGTGAGATAAATAGGGTCTTCTTCCCTTCAGAATGCTAGATGCTTGGTGAACCTTTATAATCTAAAGACCTGAATTCGTTATCTTTGTGGGGAATTCTAACATAACTTTGATAATTTCTTTCCATCCATTTTTCAGAGCTTCTCTTTTTGTGACTCCTCTACTGGTTGAATATTGTATGTCTAAAATGGAATCCTTTATGCCATTTTTTATTGTATTTTCTGTTTCCACTTAAAAAAATTTTTTTTGAGATGGGGGTCTTGATCTGTCACCCAGGCTAAAGTGCAATGGTGTGATCTCAGCTCACTGCAGCCTCGACCTCCTGGGCTCCAGCAATCTTCCCACCTCAGTCTCCCCAGTTGCTGGAACTACAGCGATGTGCCACCACGCCTGGCTAATTTTTTGATTTGTTTGTAGAGAAAGGGTCTCACCATGTTACCCAGACTGGTCTCGAACTCCTGGGCTCACGCAATCCGCCTGCCTTGGCCTCCCAAAGTGCTGGGATTATAGGAATGAGCCATCACGTCCAGCACTGTCTCTACTTTTCTGAGAGACTTTCTTGACTTTACCTTTCCACTTTCATACTAAATTTTTTATTCTGGCAAATCTTAATTTAAAGTAAATTTTCAAGTGTTCCTTTTCTTTGTGTGTGTGTGTGTGTGTGTGTGTGTGTGTGTGTGCGCGTGTGTGTTTTTAAGAGCATCTTCCTCTACTCCCTACCCTCTTACCCCCAAAATAGATGCAATCATTTCAAACCTCTTTGAGGACACAAACAGGGATTTATAAAATATTTTTCTAAATCAGGGCTCAGACCGTATGGAAAATACTCTTGAGGGTGGAGAGAAAAGATCAATTCCTGTGGCAAGTTTGACACTGGCTCAAGTTTCAAAAACCTGTCACTGTTTTATCCTGAACATGCTTTTCTGTTCCAAGTTTAAATTTTGTAAGACCCAAATTTTCACTAATCACAGCAGCAAACTATTTTCTAACTACTTTATATGTATGCAAAATTACAGCAGTCTAACAGGCAAAATATCCTGGGTTAAGATCTCAATGCCCAGATTGTACTTAATGTCACCAAGTCATGGGAACATGACTATTTTAGAAATGAATCTAAGGTTCAACTAGGACATAATACTATGCTTGGCCAATCTTAGACAACAAGTAGGAAAGCAACAATGTACTTTTCTAGCTCATACTTGAAATCTAATGAGATGAATGCAGAAAGGAATATCAGATTTCCAAGGGCACTGATAAGCCAAGAACAGACTGACATGTACATGTGACAAACATATCTTATGTCACTAAATCACCTGTTACTGAAATAAATCTGTCACATGAAAACATAAAATTAGTTTCACCTGACATTTTGTAAAATTGTGTTTTTGCCTGTAAGTACACGGTAAAGCAGCTATATCAATAGTTTTATGGAAAGATAATTCTATTAATTAACTGGAGCATAGATATAAATTATATATATTCTAATTATTCTGTGAAGCTCACATATTTTTACATTCTCTGGCACAACTGTATTTTAAATGACACATGGATATCTGTCCATTCATTACCATAAAAAACTTACTTTGTGCATTTAAAAATAGTAATAATAAATTCCATGTTACTGTTTTTACAAAGTCTATGTTTATTTGATAAGCAAAAGTAGGCAAAATTTTGAGGATGGCAACAGAGCTACATCGCACTCTGTTTCATTCTTCCTACATTTCCGCCCCTTTCAGACATTTGCCACCTTCCTTGGCCTAGGTGTTCAATACCCTTAAGCTACGTATGGGAATTCACTAATTCATTCATCCATTCAAACATTTAGTTTTGAGCATCTGATACATGCTTGGTGCTATTCTAGGCACTGAGATATACAATAAGTCAAATGGACCAAAAACTTTGCCTTTTTGACAACAGACCAAATAATAATAATAGGTAAATAAATGTTAGAACATGATAAATACTATGAAGAAAAGATACTTAGTTGAGTGAAGGGATGAGAATAGCAGACATGGAAGTGGGGGTTGTAATTTTCAATGAAGTAGTCAGGGCAGGCTTTATTAAGCATATGCTATTTAAGAAAGACCTGAGGGAGGTAAGGAAGTCAACCACCTAGGGGAAAAGCATTCCTGGCAGAGGGACAAGCCAGTACAAAGGCCAGAGTGGGAGCACACCTGGACATTAGAGTTTGGATCAGAGGGTATGAAAGAGAGGTAGAGAAGAATGAGGTCAGATAGAGAACTAAAACTCAGGTGGTTCTCCTGCTTTTGTTTTTTACTGAATGCCTAGTTCCAATGAAAATGTTTCTGGTCTATGACGTACTCTGTTAGGACCATTCCTTTTTGTTCGAAGGCCATTCAAATTATGGGCCAGGTATTGTACTAGGTGTTAGAGATAGTAAGATAATTTACCAGGATCTCAAAGATTTATTATTAGATAGGACCCCTGATAGACAAAACAAAGTCAGTTCAAACATGTAATTTTAGAAATTCTGTAGAGTGTCATTTTGGACATCATGGAAAAATGGGAGGAGAAAATTTATGGGCAGGTAAATCTTTTGGTGTTTCTCAGTCACACAGAAAGCCACCCAGTTTTTTTTTCCCAGGACTAGCAAAAGGTCTTAGGTTTATACCCCAACGGTCTTTAAGGTCCACTTTTTAGTGGGGGAAAAAATAATCTAATGTTTTCTTTTCAAGTTGTGAAAGAAAAATATCATTTTGATCTTAAAATGTAAAAAGGATTAAAGAAAAGAAACTGAAATTAATGCTATCCATTTGAATTATCGAAAACCTAATATTGTAACATGCTAAGAAAACAAACTGAGAGATATTAACTGATTTCAAAGAATGATTCAACATTTGGCATTATGCCCTGCCTTGTATACATAATTTCCTTTTCCTCCCCTCCCTTGAGTCAGGAAGTGTGTTCTTGAGGCATTTGTATTTTCTAAATTGTTTTGAATGCCAGAAAACATTATTGAAGCTTGAAGTAAAATATTTAAATGTTCCTTGGTAAAAGTCAGTAAGTATTTTCTAACCATGGATATGTAACCATTTTTTGTTGTACCATAAAAAAGACCTTACAAATGAAAAATGTATACTTTATTTGGCCCTTATCATTCTAAATTTAAGTAATTAAGCTATCACCCTTTATATAGATACCTATAGTTCTATAATACGTAGTTTTTTAATTTTAAAATGATATGTTAACCTTTTTTTAGACAATCAAGATACACATAAATTATTTGGCTGTGATACAAAATTAGGCTGGTTATTCAAGCCATGGTATGAAACTGCGTATTAATATATTCTAGATTACAATCTGAATTCAATTTACTTCATTTGCTAATGGAATGATAAATAATCTCAACATTTTTCATTTAACCAAATTCTTTAAGCAAGCTTTAAGCTCATTTAAGTCAGCTCCTTTTATCCACGTTTGAGAAAACAGCAAGCTGGTTCTCCAGATAAACATTACTAATCACTGCCACAAAGAGCAGAGTTTTCTCCCAATCTGGAATACCGATTGGCAAATTTAATTCTCTTTAAAGAGTTGCTGGATGGCACAATTCTCATGGCAAAACATCAAGCTGATTTTGGCAGGATTGTAGATTAAATATATTGCAAATTAACATCCACTAAGCCCATTTTAACAGAATAATTCTTTGAAAATTGTTTCTACTCTAACATAAAATTACTTGCTTAAATTACTTAAATTTGGAGTTGCTTAAAAACTTTCTTTTACAGGAACCAATTTCCACCAAAATGTGATTTTAAGTTATTGACTGCTTAAAATAACATACTCTCTTGCCCACTAAAGTTGTTCTCATTACAGTAATCTCCTAAATATTAGCAAATTTGCAATTCTGTTTATGCCTGGTTTAATGCTGAAAGTTACAGTCATTTGTTTTACTATACAAAATTACAAACACTAACAAGATAAAAATTACTCTAGCATTAAAAAACTGTAAAAATAAGTTGATAAAATATATAGAATTGAAATGTATAATACACATAACTGGCTTACTTTTAGTAAACAGATATATTATCCTTTAAAAATTCTGTCAAAACTGGCTTTGAATCTTGAAAAGCTGCTTTAAAGAACATATAAAACGAAATAACTATTTAATTACTATAATTAGAGTTAGCGCCAACGAAAACATTTTATTCTTTAAAAGAAGCTGAACAGAGCTTACCTGTATAGAGCGAACACGAAAAGACAAAAATTTAAACATGGCTATGAAACCATGATGGTATCAAAAGAATTTCTGCCAGTAAAACTTAAGTTAGAAAGGGAAGGCCAAGCCCTTGCAAAGTTTTCTCCTACCAGCTGTTCCGGCAATTAGAAAATTTCCTGTCAGGCGGGTCCTGAAAATGCTAGAAAAAGAGGCCGGACAATTTTCCTGTGGTAAAAGAAAGAAGAAACCTGCCGGCAGGGGCATAATGTAGCTGGATAGGTAGGGAGGCCAGAACAGGAAACCAAAACAGATTTGCTGATAGCCAAATCCTGTTGAAATGTTCTTTTCTCCTGGTTCCCAGCAATCCAGACAATTTTCACAAGCAGTGAAACAAAAGTTATTATTTTAGAATCCTGAGAAATGCCAGAATTTCTTAACAATATGACCCTTTAAAGCAACTGAAACTAGTTGCCACTACTAAACTACTAAAAGTTGCTAACTTGGATGCACATGTGGAATTTGACCCTGTGTGGTGTTTATACACACACTCTCAAGCTGTGGTCTCAAGGCAATTTTAAGGTTATACACAGGCATGTCATGGGTGTTCCCTGTCAATGAGGAAGAGTTTCATAACTATAGGTAGAAAATAAAGACCATAGGCAAGAAACTTTAAAAACTGTGATATAAGGACAAATGCTACCTGTCTTAAATGAAAGTAAATCACTTTTGAATTTATGTTAGTTATAAGCATTAATTATCAACCAGGTTAAAGATGTAAAGGTTTACAGCTAAAATTCATATTCCTAGTTGATAAAATCTAAGATTAAAAAAAAAACTCCAATCCTTGGGTTTATTAGCGAAATGGAACACTTAAGAAGCCATCTTGGAAAAGGAGGGGTCAAGCTACCATATAATTCCTTACTCCATTTCATTTCATCCTCTAATACCTTACAAAAGTTTTTCTAAGATACTGTGCTTTGGAAAATTATAAGTATACCAATATTCAGAACACAATCACTGTAATAGTGGCATTTAGAACAACCAAAGGACAGCAGCTTCAAGAGTTGTGGGATAATGCTCTACTTAATGGACATTTAATCTATGTGGAACCAACAAAAACCTCAAGTGTTAACCTACACAGCTTGTAAGAATTTAATAAAATCATGGAATTTTCAAAACCTGAAGACACTCTAGAAAATACCAAGAATAATCAGCTCACTTTCTGGATGAAGAAACTGCGGTCAAGGTAGGTCCATATTTGGTGATAGAGCTACCTATAACGGGGGTCCAGTTTAGTACCCATTTATTGAGCAAACATTACAGATCCTCCATGAAAAGCTAGGGCTCTTCCTCCTCTATCAAATTTTTATGAAAATGTTTTATAAACAAATGAATGGAAGTTGAAGAATAACTAAAAAAAAAAAACAAAAAACTTGCTCAATTAAAAAAACTATCTTATATAACCAAATACATTAGCAGCAACAGGAAACCCAAATAAATATCCAATATAGAACTTTGAATTCTGTCTGGAAAATTGTGTACTTCTCTTGTTTAAAAACACATGCCTCAATTTTTCAGCAAGGGAGGTACTTAGGAACTCTCCCATCTCCCAAAAGGAATTACTTGACTCCTTACACTAAAAGGGCAGTGAGGCTAGGACAACCACCTAACACAGAATGGCAGTCTGAACATGAGGTGGCTCTTGAAACTATGCCAGGAAAAAGCAAACATCATGCTCACTGCACAACTCGAAGTAGGATATAAGTAGCAGTCATCGACTTTATTCAAGTAATATTTTTAAACGTGAGCAACCAAATATCAAAGTTTAAGTTTTTTAAACTTAAAGGACTAGTGAAAATTGGCTGTAATTACTACTAGTGCTCAGGTTAATAATTCACATTTTGCCATGTGTTATGCTTTTTAATACTGGCACTAAGAAATGAAGCAATATTTCAGACACCAAAATCTGAAATAAGTCTCTGAGTTGAAATTGATACCATAATTAAAAGTGTGGTATTGCTATAAAAGACAAATAGAGCAACAGAAAAGAATAAATGTGGCACTGTACATCAGAGGGAGATGTTAGGACATATGGTTACATGTTTGGGGAATGTAGACACCATAAAGTATTAATACAGATTTGATTATGAAATTTTAAAAGGGTTTTACATCAAAAGGCACCATAAACAAAGTTAAAGACTAGCTCATGTGATTGGAATTCCTTATACTCACATTACAAATCATCAATGAGCAATTGCTTTATTCAGGTGTTATCTATCTCCTAACCAGAATGTGAGCTCTTCAAGTCCTTTGGTACATCTCTTATGGTATTTATTATTGTTTAAGCACATCCCATTGCCCAGATTAATCTTGAGATTAATACCAAAGATCACACAGTAAGACCTCAAATAAATGGCTGCCTAAATAAGTATCATATGCTGAAATCTGAAATGGATACTACTTGTGTGGTGGTGCACATGAAACCAGATACTGTTCTTTTTTTCCATCCATACTTTTCTTAAAATTTATTTCACTAAATTTTTGTTTTAGGCTGGGTGCGGTGGCTCACGCCTATAATCCCAGCACTTTGGGAGGCCAAGGTGAGTGGATCATGGGGTCAGGAGTTGGAGACCATCCTGGCTAAGATGGTGAAAACCCATCTCTATTAGAAATACAAAAAATTAGCTGGGCGTAGTGGCGCGCGGCTGTAGTCCCAGCTACTCAGGAGGCTGAGACAGGAGAATTGCTTGAAGCTTGGGAGGCGGAGGCAGCGATAAGCTGAGGTCACACTACTGCACTCCAGCCTGGGCAACAGAGCAAGATTCTGTCTCAAAAAAAAAAATGTGTTTTAAACATCTGATTTAATTATTTACCTTATTATCTAAAAAGTAACTATTATCATAAAAATGACACATGCCCACTATAGAAAACTTAGACAATAAAGATAAACAAAAAGGGGAAAAAAAAGAAAAAAAGTCACTATTTTGGTGATTTTCTTTCCAGTCTTTTCCATGTACACACATGGACCATACTACACATAGTATCACTTTTTCTGTAAAGGGAAAGATAGTAAATATTTTCAGCTTTGCAGGACATACGGTTTCTGTCAACTTTGCCAATGCAGTGAGAAAACGCATAGGTAGCTGTGTTCCAATAAAACACCTTTTACAGAAACGGGTGACAGGCCCATGAGCAGAGTTTGCTGACCCCATTCTCTATTATTAAATAGCCTTTAATGCATTATTAATGACTGTTGAAAATTCCATTATATAAATCTCCTATTGTTGGGTCTCTGATCTACTCCATGGTGCTGTCTCATCCTTTGTATACATTCACATTTAGAAATAAATTCTAGAAGTAGAACTGTATAGTCAAGAGTATGCAGCATCAGGGTTTTTGATCCTAACTTATTTGGCACATTGTCCTCCAAGAAGAACCTGAATAATAAGGAGGGAACCACATCAAGACCTTGGGAAGGAGCAAACTACAGCCAGGCCTGTCCAGCCTAAGGGCCAAATCTGCCCATGTTCATCTCTGTTTAAATACTAACTTCAACTGTGTTTGCCCTACAATGGCTACTGCTGAGTTGAGTATTTGCAACAGAGATCATATGGCTACAAACCTAAGATATTTATTTACTATCTGGCCCGTTATAGACAAAGTTTGCTGACTCATGGTCTAGAGTCCTCAAACAGAATGAAGAGCAAATGCCAAAGGACGGAGATAGGAATTAGCTTAATGAATTTAAGACATAAATGAAAGGCCACAGTGGCTAGAATGAGAGGAACATCAATGAAAGAGAAAGGAGATGAAGAGGTAGCTTAGGGCCATATTAAGTCAGGCCTTAGACCCAAGATGTTTGGGTTTGGATTTTATTTCAAGTGGAATGGGAAACCAATCTTCCTCATTTTAGGCAATGACATTATTACCTTTCTCAAAAACCTGTTAAGTCCTTTATGGTCTTTCCTTTCTTATCTAATTTCCTTCCTTTCATATTCAACCCCTCAACAAATTCTAATTTTATCTAAAAAATAAACCTCAAATCTGTCTATTTCTATTTCCTCTGCCATTCCCAGTACAAACGATCATCTATTGCCAGAAAACTGGTTTCTCTGCTTCTAAATTTTCCCTGTGCAATCCTTTATTTTCACAGCAGCCATAATAATCTTAAAACAGAAATCAGACCAAGTTATGTCCCTACCTCAAATTCTTCAATGGCTGCCCAACACAGAACAAACTCCAAACTTTCATAGTCTACAGAGCTTTAAGTAAGCAGTAGTAAATGCTACCTTGATCCCGACTTGTAGATATGCTCACTAATTCATTCAGACATAATGTGAATATTTGGTTTTAGATATATCATGTTAAAGTCTGACAATTTTCTCTTTACTAAAAGAGGAATGAGGGTTATATTTTATGTAATGTATTTTTGTCTATTAATATTGTCACTTAATTTTTCCTCCTTTGATCTACTGATTACTTAGACAAAGAGATTTCTTAATACTGACCTATGCCTATATTTCCGGGAAAAACCCATTGTTTTAATATAATTTTATACTTAATTTGTAAATACTTTACTTAGGAGTTTTGCACTTATATTCATAAATTAAATTGGCACATAGTTTCCTTTTCTATGCTAACTCATTTTCAGGGCTTTGCTAATTCTATAAAACAAACTAGAAGGCAAGGGAGACTTTTTCCTATGTTTTGGGGCAACTTAAAGACCACAGAGTGATCTATTTCTTGAAAGTTTCAAAGATTTTTCTCTTAAGAAATCACGGAAAATGTGGCACATATACACCATGGAATACTATGCAGCCATAAAAAACAATGAGTTCATGTCCTTTGTTGAGACATGGATGAATCTGGAAACCATCATTCTCAGCAAACTGACATAAGAACAGAAAATCAAACACTGCATGTTTTCACTCATAGGCAGGTGTTGAACAATGAGAACACACAGACACAGAGGGGGGGCATCACACAATGGGGTCTGTTTAGGGGGACTACGGGAGGGGCATCGGGGGGTGGGGAGGTTGGGGAGCGATAACATGGGGAGAAATGTCAGATATAGGTGACAGGGGGATGGAGGCAGCAAACCATATTGCCATATATGTACCTATGCAACAGTCCTGCATGATCTGCACATATACCCCAGAACCTAAAGTACAATAAAAATCATATATTAAAAAGATAAAAAAAAGAAATGATTGAGCTTGGCACTATAATGGGGAGCAGAAAGTTTGGTAGTGCTAATATTTTATGATTTAAATTTCTCCCAAGGCTATTGTTTCTCTCTCCCTTCCCAAATTTAGATTTTCCTAAAAAACCACAGATTTCACCAACTTTCATATTAGTATACTGTCACATTTAGTATTCTATTAAGTTTCCAAAATTAAACCTAAGAAAAATTTCAACCATATGCAAAAGTAGACAAAATAATATAACCTTCATGTGCTCATCACCTAAGTTTAATAATTTTCAACTCACAGCCAATCTTGTTTCTTATGCTCACTCCCCCAACTCCTGTAATTATTTTGAAGCAAATCTCAGACATTGTATCATTGTATCTGTAAATATTTGGGTTGTTATGATGTCTTAATCTCCTTCCTATCTGTGCTTATATCCTGTTTTGCTTTCCTAATGTTGTGGATTTGCTTTTGTGTGTTTTCCCTTGTTTTCTAATTTGCTGATTTTTGAAATTATATTTAATTCCTTCCTCTTGC